AATTGTATTTGGTCCACTCAGCTTTCCGGTGAAGATTCCAGACAAGCTTGCAAAGGAGTTTGGAGTACCCATCCCATAATTCCCAGGGAGCACCGCTGGCCCTCCAAGTTGGCCCTAAAATGGATTGGCTCCCTCCCCCTGCCTTTGTTCAGGCTTGAACCCGGGCTTTCAAGAACTGTAGCCTTCCAGATGTTGAGTTGCCCTCATCATCTGGATAGCTCAGTAGGTTAGGTCTCTGGCTGAGGAGCCAGAGGTTGGGAGTTCGATTCCCTACAGCACTGGACCCCAACCTTGGGCCTCCAGATGTTGTTGGACTTCAGTTCCCAGAAATCCTAGCCAGCAGAGGTGGTGGTGAAGGCTTCTGGGAGTTGTAGTCCAAGAACATCTGGAGGCCCAAGGTTGAGGACCACTGCCCTACAGGGCCTCCTTGACAGAGGGTGGTAGAGGCAGTGATCCAGAGGGTCCCTTCCAACTCTGCCCTTCTAAGATGATGATGATGATGATGACATTTCCTCCCTGTTGGCTGTTCTGACTAAGGCTGGCAGGGAGGGTCGCGCTTTCTCTCTCTTTTGGCACGAGCCTTGCTGATGGCTCTTTGGCTGCGCACCTCGTGGTCTGATCCAGGCCGGGATCTTCCAGGGACCTCGCAGGAACATTTTCCACCCGAGGAAGTGCATTTTGCTGAGTCCTGCTGGGAGAAAATTGTCTAGGGGTTGTTCCTAGGTTTGATTGCATTTGATCATTTATGTAAAATATTTTATTGTCCCGTGAATGTATTGTTTTTGTGCTGTATGCTGTTAAGAAGATTGGTGCATAGATTGGGGTGGGGGGGAATAAACAAATATAGAAATGGCACCAATCGTACATCCAGGTGACCAATCTCTAAACAAAAGAAAGCTGCTTTGTAATTTAGGAAGCGCGTGTGTCAAAAGATGAGCACATGCCCTTTACTGGCTAAACCAGTTCTGCTTCTCATTTTGAGGTTGCCTCTGTTGTGTGTTTTCACTTTGAGAACCATTCTACCCGAAGGAGAAACCATCCTTCTCCCGGATAATTCTCCTACTGTATTGTACTATGTATTTCAATGTGATAAAGAAGTGGCCTTTAATGGTGCAGACTGCACATTGTCCCCAGCAAGATGGGGCTGCTCCACTGACGGCCGACTTCGGGAGGGGGAGCCCACTTGGAGCCGGCGACCGGATCGCACTCAGGCCGGGAGCAGAAGCTTCCCCGCAGTCCTGCCGCCATTGAACCCCTGCATCAGGAGCCTCCTTTGGAGAAGAAGAAGAATTAAGAGCCAGAAGGACTTGCCCTCTCCACTCTCCGATGGGGCACCTCTGGCACAGCGGGCGCCCTCCTCCCCGGCCAGGGCTCCGGTGGGACACTAGGTCCGAAGCCCTGCAGCCAGGCTCCCTCGGGCGGCGGCGGCGGCGGCGGGGGTGGGGGGGGAAAGGAAAGGTGAGGTCGGCGCGACCGCCCTGGGGGCTCCTCCTCCTCCTCCTTCTCA